AAGTGAGTTTATTTTCTTGACAGTCTGGAAGCAATTCACTCCAGCTGATTCAGCTGACATGCCAACAGCCTAATATCGCAAAAATCCTTCCAAACCAGCAAGCATGTAGCTTTCAGAGTCATGTAGCTGCACAGTGAACTGGTCCAGGGGAGCAGAAGGGACTGGACCACAGAGATGGAACAGAGAGAGAGGAACTGGAGGTGATACAGGTCCAAAGATTGGCTTGACTGTATCATCTAGCCACACAACCAGAGGACCTCACTTCCATGTTCCACTTCTGCTTCAGTATTTTGCTCCAGATTACTCTCAAAACACACAAGGAGGTCCTTACAGCATAGAGGGAACCACTGCTTTCCCTGACCACCACTTGACCTCCTGACATGACAAAACTATCCACTGCTGACCCCTATCAAAAATTTAATTCCATATTGGTACAGCAGCTGCGAAAAGGTAAAAAACCCCCTATGTTCCTACTCCTTGTAAATACATGATTCAGCAAAGTTCTGTAGTCTGATGGTGTTAAAAATATCCACAAAACAAGGGACATTTATCTGCAGGATTATTTGTAACGTAGTTTTGTATTCCAGTTCCTGACATGAACAATAGGAGCAGGAGGGGAGGAAAAGGAGTGAGGAGCACAGAGGAACAGGAGTAACAGAGGCAGAGGAGCTACTTAGGTAAGAAAAAATGAAAAGGTGTTCTGGAGCACAGATTCAAGGTCTTATTTTAATCATCCATCACACATTTCCCTTCCAAAGCACCAGTGCAGTGAGGATGTGGGTTAATAAACAGATTCTGATGGATATAAACCATCTTTCAACAAGTAAACTGCCCTGCAACCATTTGTTTATCTCCAATCTGCATTACTTCCCAGCAGCTTGGAATCAACTGCAGTCTTGATGAAGAATCTGAGTCACAAGCACAGAAGTATAGTAGTCCATTATTCCATGACAACAACAATCCCCTTGTTTGTTTCATCCCAGTGGCCATTCCACGCAGTGCTTCTGACTCACTAAAGATCAGGAATCCCAGGTGGAATCCCCCATGGAATCCCCAGTGAAGTGCTGCTGTCTGGTCACAGCACTTCACAGAGGGACATGTACCAAGGAAGAGTTTTCCAACCATATGTATTGATTTTCCTTGGAGGTACTGGAGCAAGTAAGAAAGTATTCACCATCATTACCATTTATTTGCTACCACTGTTCTATTGAGGATACTTCATGCAGGAACCTTTCCTCTAGCTTTAAGTGCAGTGTTTCCAAGCGTGGTCAGGGGATGCAGCTGTTGGGGCTCCTGTTTCCAAATGCTCAGGGCCCCACACACTCTTGCAAAAGGACATGTGCTCATCCGATTAGGCTACTAAAAATATCTAAATACTTGCCTAACACTAACTTTTCCACACAAACAACTGCTGTAGGAGAAAGAATGCTGAAAGACACAAACAGGTCAGGGACTGTTCACAGCACAGTCTGAGAGATGTGGCCTGTGAATGAAAGTGCTGATAACTCACATTTTACAGAGCTCTGTGCCATGATGCACAGATTAATATTGTCACTGCCCACAGAAGAGTTGCTTATTCTCATGCATCTTTTTGTTTTCATAACCCTTTCTCAGTTGGGGGTTAAGGTTTATTTATTGCAGTGTTGTAGTAGTAATTATATCCTGAAATGGAAACTGGCAGGTCACGGGAGAAACATCAGAAAAGTCAGGAGGTCAAGTGAACAGAACTTGACATAATTCACACTTCTGCTAAACACGAGGCAGCACAATCTTGGAGGTCAAGGGAACAGAACTTGACATAATTCACAGTTCTGCTAAACACGAGGCAGCACAATCTCCTTCAGAATTCTAGTTCCTTGGATTTCTTATTTCTCAAACAAAAGCACCGCTTCATTTCACTTAGTGGAATGGTCTGTACAGAATTTGCAGTCCCACTCTTGTCTTAAATTTGTCAGGTCAAATATCTATTATTTAGATATCTACACAGGGAAAACCTCTGTTATTTCTCAAGTGACTCAGAAGAATCTATTCTAGAAGAGTGGAAGAGACTGTATTTCTGCAGTGTTTTATTTCCTGTATAAGGAACTTAAAGCCAACACAGGTTGGCAAAAGACTTGAGGAACTTACTCAAAGCCAACACAGGTTGGCAAAAGACTTTAACTCCCCTATTCCTCAGCACACAGTCATCAGGGAAAAGTGTTTCCCTTGCAGAAGGAGAGAGCTAAGACCAGCTGACTTTCCATGTCCAACATTTCATAACTGCTCAATAAGAGGAAGGATTGCTATTCTGGAAATGCCACAAAGTCAGGACATGAAGCTGTTCACCTCCTCCTCTTTTGCATCATTTCACTTACTTAACTTGAAGAAAGCTTTGCTACAGCTTGGCTACAAATTACTAACCAATAGCTTATGATTGAAAATCGCTGTTTTGTGAAAAATGATCACAAACTAAAGCTATGAACAAAGGAAGGAGGGTTTTTACAGAGGCTATTAAAAGGCGCAAACATTTTAGCTTGAAGCTCTTTTTTTTTTTTCACCCTGAAAAGCATTTTTATTTGTGGCTGGGCATATTCATCATCAGAACATGTCCAACTTTTGGAAAGAACAATCTTAAACACCTCAGTCAGAACAGAGGAGGTTTCATATCAAATGAACAATTAACTTTAGATTAATAACTCAAAGAATGAAAGGAATTTTTTTACCTCTGTAGGCTACAAAACCTACAGAACAAGGTACCAAAGATGTTTATAGAATCACAGAATACCCTGAGTTGGGAGGGACCCACAAGGATCACTGAGTCCAACTCCTGGCCCTGCACAGGGGCCCCAAAAATCCACCCTGTGCCTGAGAGCACTGGCCAAACACCTGAGCTCTGCCAGGTTGGTGCTGTGACCACTGCCCTGGGAGCTGTGCCAGTGCCCAAACACCCTCTGAATGGAGAACCTTTTCCTAATATCCAACCTAAACCTCCCCTGACACAGCTCCATGCCATTCCCTCTGCTGTATGGGTTCGCCAGACCTGTCTCAGTATCAGGAATAGTTTCTCTGTGCAGCAGCAGAGGGAAGTTGCTACTAGCAATTATTTGATGCCACCAAGTAACTCCTCTGTTCTCCAAACACAACTTGTGTGTGCAGATGCCTCTAACATCTCAGCTTAATATTTAAAATCAGTTTCCTAAGGCAGACACAATTCACCTCAAGCTCTCTGAAGAGTATGGAGCGACTCCTTTAATTGCATATTCCCCTGAACACAACAGGATCCTTAATACACTCACATCATTGCATCACCAGAATGTGCCGTGAAAGATTTTAACCACTGAACTCAAAACCATTGGGACCATAGCTGCAAACAAGAGGAGAAACCTGGTTGAACAATGTGCACTTGTAGTCACAAACACCACCTCAGCTTTAAGAGGAATAACCACATTATTCCTTGCTGGACTGGAAAACATTCTGGAAGCAGAAAGAATAATCCAGTTCTTCATTTTCTAGAGAGGATGTAAGTGAAGTGCTGAGAAGGAGCGAGGGACAGGCAGATTGTCACAGAAACCAAACACAGATGGACCTGCCACAAATCCCTGTTTGTCAAGGCTGTATCTAACAGCTACTCTCTACAGTGGCCACCCCAGAACTGCAGTCAACTTGTATTTTCAACTTCCCTCACTGATTTTTCCTCTTTATTCATGTTTTGTCCCAATGGACATTATTGGATGAAGTGTACAAAACCACAGAGATACCTGAACACTGCTGAAAGTTTGTTTTCCTGCTTTCCAAACCCTGTCTCGAGTGGGGAAGTGTGTAAAGACTTACAGTACCCATGACAGTGCAGCATGAAACAGAGATCCACCCAAACAACAACCCCAATCCCTCCTGGCATAAAAATAGACTATTCTTTCAGCACTCTGCATCCTTCAATCACAGCTGCTTCCACACATGGCGAGACAGAGTGTTCTTGGGCTTCCCAGCTCCCTCTCCCAGCAGGTGTGACAGAACTGCCTCAGGACCAGCTCTGCCACAGCTCAGCTGCCCTGATCCCACGGTGCCAGGCCTTGGCAGAGCTCTGCAACCCTTTCACATCAGGGATATAACCACCTGGAGTAACACTCTCCCTTTGTCAGGGCTCACAGGAACAAACAACACAGACCCTTACAGCACACTACAATGACAAAACTGGTGACATCCCTGCAACCAACAATTTATCTCCACTGTATATCCACACATTCCTACATCCACCTAGTCAGCATCAACCTCTAAAAGGTCCTGCTTTGTGTGCAATTTTAGGTTCATAAAAATATTGGAACCAAGTTACAACATGCACTTCTCAACCCCTGAAACATATGTATCAAGTTCGAACTACTCAGAGGTAGTAAGTTATGATTAAAATACCCCTTTGTGATGGGTTAACTTTGGCTGGGTCCCAAGTGCCCACCA